TAATACCCTTGTGCACAAGTGCGCTCGGGTATAAAAAAAATTGCGCTGCACCAGGGCTCGAACTCGGATTTCTCGATTGGCACGTCTGTGCATTGCCCATTCGGCCACTGCGCCTGTTGCAGTCACGCGAGCTAAATGACATGAAGTGGTTAGTCTTATAAGTGACATTTTTTGAAAATATAAGTTATACCCATATTTGTATAGTAAAATATAGTGCTTATTTGGTGACAAAGAGTAAACATTCTTTGAACTAGTTAATTAACCTGCATTCATTTAGGCAATAATCATTTCAAATGCATTTACCCAGAATTTACAATAAGTAATCAACTTTAACCTTAATTATCTCAAAAAAATTTCAGATCTACTTAGATCCCTTTGATTCTAACCCCTTCATATACAAATGATTTCTCTCAAAATAGATTTTCACCACGAGTGGTGAATGAAAGACCTTTTTTTCCAAAAACTTTTGTGCTAGAATAATAAAAGTCTTTCGAACAATCTTATCATCTGTCTTACGAAAGACTTTTTACTATCTTAGCCAGAATTGCCCTGTAAGAGGGAAACACCTTAACGGGCTTTATAGCACGTCTGGGTGTCCAATCTTAATGTGGAGGGTATCACACCGACTCTGATACCCGTCTCTCCGTACGCTATTCCCTCCTTCTCCCATCCATCCCCTTGGCTTGCTGCCAGAAGTATGTAAGTCTTTTCTTAAATTATTCTCCTGATACTCGGCTCAGAAGGTGGAATTCCTCGCTATAGCAAAGAGATTTTCATAATCCAGAGAAATCTGACAAATAAGCAGGTTGACTCTAAAATTTTGGCGGAGTATTTTTTAGAAAACAACAATGAAAAGATCAAATCTAGGTTCCAGAGACGAAATTGATAGTTCGCTTCTCATAAACGGTGAAAACTAAAAAAAACATATTTGGCGCTGGCAAATTCGTGGGTTATATATAAAACGATTCTAATTTAATGATTTATGTCTTTCTTTATATGTAAGTGAAGCAAACTTAGTTACTCCAAAAATAAGAAATTAATTTCAACAACTAATTTCAGCATTGGCTGCACAATAAAGTGATTTATAGCCGTTTCTTCGGCCTTATAGCCATGTGGGTGTACTTCATATTGTTTGGATAGCGTCCATTCCAAAATAATGAGTTGTTGTACATGCCATTCAAATTACTGAAATTTTAGTATGTTCTTTAATGAAAGAAAAACTACAAAATTCATTGCATTGCCTACCTCCACCAACAGTCTTTGTACCACCAAGCTCCTTTCCAAATCTCGGCGCAGTTGTCCACATACTCATCGTTATCCTCATCGAAAGTACTAAATTTTTGACCATCATGAAAATCCTTTAGCGCCTCGCCGGCAGTGCCCGAATATTTGCCTATAATATTCAGCGCATACTTCTCCTCCTCGTCGCCCACAGCGAAACTTTCATAATTCGCATGCACATGTGTGCCCGTATAATCCATCATTTCAATCCACAACTCTTGCAACTCCACTTGAGTCAAGGCATGCAACTTATCCAAGCCAATAAAGAAATTGCCATCCAAATTACCAAACCCAGTTTGATAGTCTCGCCAAGTGCGATAAAAATTCACCAATCCGTCCTGGCGACGCTGAAATACTGTCCAAGCATCGCCACCATTAGGATCCTTTAGGCAGTACACGTAGAACGGGTGTTCAAACCATTCTGGCAGGTGTAACTGATAGATGCCACTCTGTGCTGCGCTACGAGCGGCTGCGAATGCTTCTGCACAACTTCGCGGTAATGAAGATGCATAAACTGACCGGGCAAGTGAATTTTTCGTTAGAGGTCCATCGGTGACATTCTGCAGTGTATTCGCTAAACAGAAAGTGGCGAAAAATGTCAACACGGCAACTAAGAAGGCACAGCAAAAACGTAAACAAAACATTGCGAATTGTTGGGGAGAGACTGTTGAGCGAATAACATTCGACGACGCTTATAAACAGATGCGTTTTGGGTCGCTGAAGTGGCGTTCACTATTTTGTTATCAGATTGATTAGATAAGATGTGAACTTTCTAGGAACTTGGTGATTTTATTGTATATTTATTTGTGTAATTAAATTTGGTTTTAACAAGAAATTAACTCGTCTAACCGTATCATTTAGATGCCCAGCGGAAGAGCTCAAATCAAATTTAGTTATCAGACACTTTAGAGCTTACGAGCAATAAAATATATATTTATCAATCGGTAATGAAAGTGGACATTTTGCGATTGCACTTCCAAGTATTTTTAGTACGTACTCTATGTATTATCTGAGTATACATAGAACAGCTTCCCCCTACTTTACATACAAAAGTACATACTTACTGTATGTACCTTTTACGAGTACTCTTAACGATTGATATCTCGTCGTCTTTCAGACTTATTGTTAGTCGATATTTTGTTTCCAGGAGTCTTCACCAGCGCTGAAGTCAATGTGGCCATTGGGAGTGCGAAAACTTCCAAAGCTATTTAACCCGACGAAATTTGCATGCTGATGCTGAAAAATTATGGGCCCGCGGGAGTAGCATATCTCACCGTGGTGCTCAACTTGTCAATAATCACTCTCATCATTCCCGATGTGTGGGAATCGGAGAGAGTGGTCCCATTGTTGAAGTAGTGGAAACCAGGAAACAAAGCAAAATCGTATCGCAAGATAACACTTCTTTCCCCGGTTGCGAATACACTTGCGGCCCAGCTACTCCTTACACTTAACGCCATAAAAGCCAAGATAACTCGTGAGCTAAACGCAGCCGCCCTTGTCGGAGAACAGTCCTAGTAGCAGTGGACTTGTCAAAGGCGTTTGGCACCATTTGTCATCCTTGCTACTAGAAGACTTTGAGGCTTGCTCTCTTCCACAGGGACGCAAACGGTGGTCGGCGATTTATGTGAGTGATCGACAGTCGTCAGTAATCTTCTGAGATCAAACTTCAGGAAGAATTAAATATGGGGTTTAATAAGGTGGTGTCCTCGCCTCGTTACTGTTTAACTTCTAGATTTCCCAACTCCCTCAGCCACCAGAAAGAACTTCCCTGATCTCATACGCTGATGACTGCTCCATATTGACGTCTGGGAATGGAAATGATGACCTCTGCTCAAAAGTAAATGGCTATCACTTCGACCTTTTTCGCTTCTTCACTACAAGGAGCTTTACACTCTCCCTAACGAAGTCAACGGCAACCGTCTTCCCCACCTGGACGAAGGAGTTCAGGCACCAATTACGATGGTGAACAACTCGAAAATTCTAGGGATTAGGGGTCAGTGCTTCCCGAAGGGGTTTTCACAGACGTGAGCACCCCAACAGACCCTTGATCGGGGAGAAGCCTTCGCCCAGGCACGTCAGAGCGCATCTATTCAAATACGTGGACGCGGTCCAGACATACATTGACCACTGGACCCGAAGACGTACAGCGTAAGGAGTAGGGAGTCGGTCACAACTTACCATGACTTCCGACCTATGAATTCCGTGATCGGAGCCCAATCACCCCCTATAGAAGACACGGAGCTTCAACTGCCAATTGATACCCGCAGTACTCTGGCGCAGTTACGGTCTGGATAACGCAGCCGTCTCAACAGCTATCTGTTCAGACTCTATCTAATGAGTGTCGGACATGTGGAAACTCCCCGTACGATACCAACCACCTCTTCCCATGCCAGCTTAATCCCACTCAACTAACACCCATCTCCCTTTGACCCGACACCGTGGAAAGAGCCCGTTTCTTAGGCTCAACAATAGTTGAGCTTGACGACAACGATTGACGGACAAACCGAACTTGGCGGGGCTAAGTAGTACCGCTACTGTAACACATTTTGGGACGGAATGCGAGCAGATTTGTGGAAGCTTAATACTATCATATTGTCATCAGCAGGGAACAGATTTTATGGAAATTGCCTTTTTGTCTGCTAAAGAGATAGAGTATATTCGATTAAGAATGTCCACGATTTAGCTTTCCCTGATTCCATATATACACATTTGACGTTGCCTTTTTTAAGATATTAGCCCTTTTTTTGCCTTTTTTAAGATATTTGCCTTTTCTTGCCTTTTCTACCTTTAAAAAAGCGATTATAGTAGCATTTACAATTTTATTTTTAAGATTAAAAAATATACACATACCCATGCGGCTTATAGAAGCGCAGGGACCTCTTGCCAAATTGGTGCTGGAAAAATTCAAAGCCGTTTTCTCAGCTAACGTAGGCTTGGAGACAATAAAGGGTGTGGATAAAATTGTAAAGGGCGAGAAAAACGCCCTTATTCCTGATAATATGAACGTTTCAAACGTTCCATATTTAAATTGGGAACTTACGTCGAGCGCACATTTAGTACATTCAAGGCTTTTCTTCGCGAAAATCGAATGAAAATGCTGCCAGAAAACTTCAAAATGCATCTTGTGGTTCAATGTTACTACAACTATACAGATTAAAGTTTTATGAGTTAGAAACTCGAAAAAATTTTTCATATAATGAAACTAGTTTATAGTTTTTCTCTTTTTACTTTTAATATATACATTTCTAAAATAAATGTATTTTTTTATTATTGTTCGTATTTTCTGTCTTTTGTAGTGCCTTATTTTGCTTTTTTGCAATACCTAGTGCCTTTCCTGCCTTTTTCGCTATTTTGTTTTGCCTTTTTTGCAACACCTAGCGCCTTTTCCTGCCTTTTTCGCTATTTTATTTTGCCTTTTCCAGCCTATTTCGTTATTTTATTTTGCCTTTTTTATAGGTTTTTAGGTCCTGAAAATCCGTTCCCTGGTCATCAGTATCAAAAAAGCATTGGATTTAAAGTGGGTAACATTTCTTGATCCTGAAAGTTCTCAGACTACGTCTCTCGTCCTTTATAGCGAGCCAGTCGACGAAATTAGGATCGCTTCTAAAGAAACGCTAACAGGCAGGGCTTTATTGAAAAAATAAAAATACAATTTTGGAAGCTGTATTAGAAGATCTTCCAATAGATCTGCTATTCGAAGGCAGATTAAAAAAAAAAGATCATTGAGAGTGAGAAATTTCATGTTTGTATTAAAAATTATACTTGAAGAATAGAATGTTTGTTTCGATCCTTGAAAATTTTACACAAAAGGAATATGATGTGTTCGGGCCCTGTTTCGTTTCATTACCAATCCAGCATTTAAAGAGTAACTACTCAAGAATAATGAACAACTAAGAATTACAAATTTATTTGGCTTTAAAACACCAGCTGCTATGCGAGTAGACATCATTTAAGGGCGGCATATACATACATATACATACTTCTCATGACCCCCATCGTTTGCACACCCGCGGCTGATGGAGCGCATGTCAACGGTACCTGATTTATGGTCACAATCATTTGTGTTAGCTTCACTCCGCGCCGTAGGCTTTATATTAATAGCAAAAGCGGCACAGCAGCGCCAAGTAGGCAAAGGGCAAGTGAGGAGCGAAAGCGTACAAAGGACAAAAATCCATGGGTGTCCGCAACCTTTTAACACTCTTTAAATGGCACATCTCCATTCGCACCAGCATGTCAAGCAGCGGCACCAAAAATTTAATGCAAACATTGTTGTTATTATAGCTATTCTGCAACGACAACTGTAATAATTTGCCCCAAGAGGCCTCCATTCCACTCGACGCGACTACATATGTACATACATACAGACTAGCGGCGTCAACGGCGATACGACTACCAACGGAATGACTTGCTAGCTAGCCAGCCCTCCAGCTGGCCGATAACAGTCCATTATAGGTTATGTGTGTGCGTGTATATTTTGTAGCATTACAACGCCTTTAATGTTGGTAATAATTCGCATTTAACAAATGCTTCATGCTGTGAATACAATTGCTCTATGTTGTTTTTGCTTTTGTGCTCAACATTTTGCACTCACCGCTGTTTTCACCACTGTAATTTCAATTTTAATGCTGATTTTATAGGAATGATGATTCGCACGAATTGCGAAAAGTAAGTAAATTTGTATGAATATTTGTGTGCCACAAATTTTCGCTGAGCGGAAGAAAGTGACTGGAGGCATATTTACAGGGTCAAAGTGGCACAGCAGTCAGTTCATGCCATTATTCAATTATGAAGTCATTAAGTCATTTGTAAGTGCGGCGTTTCGACATTTTATCGGCAGACAAACGACTGCAACCCAAAACAAAAAAAAAAAAAGGCACCGGAAGCAAAGGCAGCAGGGTCCAACTGCTCGTCGTGGGGTGTGCAATTAAAGTGGTTACTTTCGAAAATCATTGGCCGTTGGCACTTAGCCTTATCTGTTAGTGAGTTTGGGTGTTTATGTTGAACAACTTTTTGTATTGCGCCCGTCCTACTCCTACTTAAGATTAATTGCCACTTACTCGCCGTTGACGTACTATATTTTGAGACATCAAATAGTAAGCAATTGGTCAATTTAATAAATAAGTAAGTGCACATAAAAAATAAAGATTTTTACAAATTTGCTTATAAGTATGTACTTCGTAATTATGTACATGAAAATTTGTATACCAGCTTACATCAAAGTACCGGTCTTACCGCTACCAACGTCGGGTACATATTTTGTCCAGAGGCGGATGTAAGATGAAAAAATTGTTGTCATTTTGTCTCGCATAACTTCTTTTTAATGAACCGATTTGGATGCTTATTATTGCATTGGGCTAAGGACCGCGATCCCATATAAATGTCATCATTCGTTTAAAAGGATCTTGATTTTTATAATATTACACTGGGAAAAAAGTTTAGCTACGTCCACTTAATACATTTTTCTTATAACATGGTTATGTTATATATATTACTACATGTCGTGTTGAAGTCTAGAAAAGGAAGACTGATGAGCAGATGTGGTGATTCCCGAAATAGCAGCTAGAATTTGTTGTTTTTTTTTCATTTTTCCAACTCAACTTTTTTCTTAGTGTATTATCTAAAGTTTCAACTTATCTGGTAAAATTTAGGAAAAAGTTAAGATATCAATGGAAATGAGGTTAGAAGAGGCTCTTAAAATTACGTTTTAAGACTAACGAAAAAGGCACGGCAAAGCTTGTTTTCCTGTATCAAAAGCTGACATGGAAGCTAAAGAAGAGCCTTTATTTTTACACTGACGCTCAGTAGGAAAATTTCGACTAATTTTATTCAAAAAAAGGCGAGAGATTCATTTTTTACTGAAATAAGTAAAATACTTGGACTGGATTTTATAAAAGAATTAAAAAAAAAGGTTTTGATCTTTATCAGCCAATGGTGAAAGTCGGATAATTAATAAAAGATGGACCGCCAAAGAAAAAGTAATATATTTCTTGGTGCGAAATTTTAGATCTTGAAGATGGTAAAAACATTTTTAAGGTCTTTAAATTCGACGCCGGTGATAGAATCGTGAAATTCACTTGGCCGATCCAATATAGCAGATACAATAAGAAAGATGTTGTCCAAAAATCGCATCCTTAACATTTTTGTGGATAAAGTTTGCCATATTGAATCGGCCTTTTCGAATTTCGTGACGTCAGAAAACGTTTTATCATCTAGATCTGAAACTTGTCACCAAGAAAAATATTACTTCTAGTTTGGCGGTTTCTTTAATTTTTTACTTTTTCGACTTCACCATATGCTGCTAAAAATCAAATCTCTCTTTTTAATTCGGGCCCTGACAATCCTTTCTAAGACCCGTTCCAAGTAGACGAAATTTTCTAGACGAAAATTTTCTACTTCTACGGCGAGAGTATACTTTTCAGAATTCCAGTCCATTGCAATTCCTGTTTCATACTTTTATACAAGTATTATTACATATTTATAATCGCAAAACTCACTTGGTGCTAATGCGACCTTAATGGAACTTCCACTCTTGTTACCAAGCCCAGGCGGAACATTGCGATCAAGACTTTTACAGCATCTTCAGTCGTGATCAATCTTGGAATTTACGGAGTAAAGAAAGGTACAACCGCTACCGATCAATAACTACAAAATGGCTATGATTTTGTATATTTTTTTATTTAACTTTAAATAATTTAATTACATTAAAACAGGCAAAAACTATAACCCAAATTTCTAAAAAAATAAAGACGACTTCATTTGCTTTAAAAACCGAAAATTTTTACGAAAATATAATATTTCCGTGAGCCTTCGTATCTGTTTTCGTCCTCGCATCCGAGGATGTTGCACGAAAATGTAATGTTTTCGTAAGCCTTCGTATTCGTGTTCGTCTTTGTAATCGAGCTTGTCTTGCTATTTGTCTTCGCACTCGTCCTCGCAATAGGTTTTGTCTTTGTATTCCTTCTCCATATTCGTCTGCGTGTCCGTTTTCGATTCGTGTTCTTCTTCGCACTCGTCGACGACTTTGTATTTTTATTTACCTTCATGTACGCATTCGTATTTATCTTCATGGTTCTTTTAATCCTGGCATTCGTCTTCTTATTCATCAAGACATACGCTTTCGTTTTCTTCTTCGTCTTCTAATTCTTCTCTGTCTTCGGTTGGCCTTCGTATAGTCTTCGTACTCATATTCCTCCTTGTAATCGGCTTCGTATTTGTCCTCGTATCCGTCTTCGTATTCGTCTAGGTCGTCGGACTCGTCTAGCTTACACGGAGTTTGTTCTCCATAGGAAGGCTTCATTTTTTCTAACTTAGTAACTCGTTATCGTAGGACCCACGTTCATATATACAAAGCAAATTCTATTGAATTCATATCCATTTTAAAGCAAGTAAACTAAAAACAAGATTCCTTTCCTACTTGCAAGCACTACCAGGCAGCCACATACTGAGATCTTTTTTACTGAGTTTTTATTAACTTAAAATGAGAGTGCAACTTTATGAGTCCACCATTTACACTTCATATTTTGTAGATGCAACAAAACATATTCTAATCTGTAACACACCAAACGCACACTGTTCGAGGTGCTACGTTAAAAAGTGCTCCACAGCAAAATATTTACATTGGCGACCCACTAGGAAAGTCCTGGAATAGCGAAGCTACTTGCCAAGATTTCAGCCATTGCGACTCACAAATCTAACCTAAAACCTCTAAAAACGCAAGCACACCGAATCAAAGAAAACTAAACAAAGCACATGTGGCATAAGAAACAGTAAATTACTATTTGATCAAGCTTTGGACTAAAAGCTTTAAATGATCCCATGTGTTTTCGGACTTACAGGGTTGTTCCTGTACGTTTATGCATACACATATTTATATCTGTACACAATAGGTAACACTGCGCTTGAGTATAGCGAATGAATCTTTTGCGGTTGTCTGCAGGCGATATGATAATTTCATTTTTATTTGAATTTTTTTTTTTACAGCTTCAAAAAATTTTATGCATCAACAAACATGTCACAACGGTTGGCAATAACAACTACAACAACACTTACATAAAAAATTATTACTTACGCAAAAAGGAGTAAAAAAGTTGTGGGCAAAAAAAAAACACTCAAATCATGTTTACGTTATTTTATCCTGTAAGCGCACGAGCACAAACTGACAGTAGCTGTTGGTGAAGGTATTTGTAGGGGGAAAACCTTATTTGTGTTTGCCGTCAGTCGTGCCAGAAGTGAAGATTTATCTTCAAAATCAAGACTTATTTTCAATAAATTTTGTCAAAATCTTAAACTGAAGATATTAAAACGTAACAAAATATTTTCATTCGTAAAGACTTTTGGCAACACAAAAATTCTTGTGCATAATTTAATTAAATTCGACTTTTCAAATAGGTGGTAACCCTCTTCAAAATAATTAAACTTCTTTCGCCTGACAGCCATATTGTGATACATATTCCAATTACCTAGTTCCCTTAATTCAAGAAACATTTGATTTTTCAAATATGTGGCAACCTTCCTACATGTAACTTAGAAATAAAGCTTTTTCAAAACCATTTCGATTGATATCCATATTGTAATAATTCATTTAATATAATTGAATTTAAGTTTTACAAAGGTGGCAACCCTTGTAAACACCTCAAGAATATTCTAAATGCTCATATTAAAGGTTTCTTAACAATTTTTCGTTTAACATCCATATTTTAATTTTTCATATATCGAGGGCTTATATTCAATACCCGATATCTGCAACTTTCACAAAAACTACTTTTTGATGTTAGAACCCATCTGGCACTTACCGGTCATCACTGATTTAACTCTGACTTTTCAGTTTAATAGTAAATTCTACTGTCAAGTGTTATATAAGGTCAGCATTAATATCACCAATGACAGTTAAGTCTTAGGTGACTTTTTTTCAGAATCTAATTTTTGTGCAAAGTGCAGATATAGGGTATCGAATATAAGCCCTAGTTAAATCTAGTTAAATCGTACCCATTTGGAATGAATTCAAAAATTTGTTAATTTTTGTTTGTTTGTTATAGTCTATGTTCTTAATAAATGTTTTTGTGATATAAATAAAATTGAAGTTGGGTATTAAAAACCTTCAAGAAAGAAATATGTTTCACAAAAAGTTAGTTTTCTAAATTTTTGTATTTTTTGCGATTTTGAACGATTTAATCTTCACTTGGCAGATTTTTCTCGAAATATTTCTGGCAGCACTGGTCGTTGATAGTAGAAATATGTATTTATGATACGTGTGTATGTATGCAGGTATGTAGCTGCAACACGACACGCATAAATATTTTTCCCTTCCTTTTATGATTAAAACCACGCACGACAATAAACGCTGCCAGCGCCTGAAAATATTAGTAACTCGTAAGTATTAGTGATTTTTGTCATTCGTGCGAGCCAAATCAAATAGGGTTCTTGGTTTCACGCGCGCAATTCTGGCACAGCATGAGCCTCGGCTTGACATACTGTTTTAGCTTAACTTGAAGCATAGGTAACACTATATGAAAAGTCTCTAGTTTTGAAATGGCACAAAAAACGCCGACAAGCGTAACCGTTCTTCCAGATCAAGTCATTTTCCCAAGATATGTTCATTTTATAGTAAAAATTTATTTTTAAAACAAGCTTCCTAAGTACGGAAAAAGTCCCAAATATCTCGATTCATGCGCCACCTATCGGCAAAGTTTTTGTGGAGTTCAATTTTCTTATATATGTATGCAGAAGTAATACATATTCTAAATAGAAGATAACATTATTTTTTTTTCATTCGCAATGCGAACTAAAAATTAAAATACAGATCGGTAGATTAAATTTACGTGGTTCCGCGTTTTTTATTTTTTTTGGCATTTTAGCAACCCTACAGTGTACTAAATTAAAGACTGTAAAGTGTTAACAGGCGCTCAAATGTAAATATAAGTCCATCATTCTCTTAATCATTTATTTAATACTAACTACTTTCGCCTCATTCGAGAGGGTTATCCTTTTTCTGCTTGGAAAAATGAGTTTAAAAACACACTTAATATTTAAATTCTGATGAAGTTTTTATTTCAGAATTAAGGTGGAAAACCTTTGGTTTATCCTGACGTATCTTGTCCTTCAATTGCTCCTAAATTGTGGACTGCTCACATAAATACGATTTCTCGATTGGCTTCACAAAAATAAATCCAAAGACGTTAAAGCGCAGAATCTTTGTGATCAAACCACATTTCTGAATCCCGAAATTGCGCGTTCTCGGAGTTTCTCAAAAAAGTTATAGCTGCCACGTTGCGTGTCATGTGGCTCCGTCTTGTTGCAAACCCACTATAATCAGATCAAAATCTGCAAATTCAAGCTAAAAAGGCATTGTTCATGGCGACGAACAGTCAGTCTTTGCAAATATGTACACAACCACAGAATGGGCAATTTTTGCTTGTTAAAGTAACCGCCGAGCATGAAATGGGCCTCGTTGCTGAAAAAATATTTTCTCCGTAATGCGCGAAAATGTTGCGCCGAAGATTCCCCATAAGAAGATTTGCTCATAAATCTTTCCATATTGGCAAAACGTTAACTAAACAATCTATTAGCAAATTGAATAAATCGCAAACCAGATCAAATAAATTTAAAAAAAACTAAGGATTGTTCTATTCGAAATCAGTGTAATTCTGGCCGGCGTGAAATTTAACCTAATCACGTTTACCGTTATTCCTGTGATCAAAGCTTCCGTTGTTCTCAGATATAAAAATTAGTAAATACATAGCAGTAGTCTTAGGGGCGAATACCAAATGTTGAAGTACAAGATGTTGTTTACTTCACTGAACGCAATTAAGTACTTTTATGTTACTCATACGCCCCCTCCAAAAATTTTGGTAGTTTGTTATGTTGGCAATGGTAACTATTATCTGAAAGGCAGCCTCTAATTTATATGCCTCTTATAAGCACCGAAATACGTACATATATACCATCTTTCTAGTAGCATACGAAATTTACTTATAGCGTAAATGTTTAGATTGGTCAAAGTAGCTGGTAAAGAACTCTGCTGGGGGGAGTACAAGGGCTTGCTTAAATAATATGAAAGAGAAGTGCGGAAGGCAAGGAATAAATCCTATAGGGACTTCTGAGGAAACTTCTAACCAAGATTCCATGCATGCACAGCCTTATACGCAAGAGTTACGGGGACTGGACCAATTCATCCGCTACTCTGGAGAGAAGTGAGGGTTGTTTTTATACACAAGGCAGGCAACAGCAACCCAGTTTTCTTAAAAGAATGCAGGCCCATAAGTCTGACCCTGGTAAAACTTCTTGACACTCACTCAGTGGCTCGCGACACCATGCATGACGGGAGCGTTGGGCTCAACTTCGACGGCTGCTCCAAAAAGAATCCTCACTTTACGGCCATTGACCTATTCGCGGAAAACCGTTCTTAAATCCGCAGGTAGATTGACGGCCATAGGGAAGTTCAATTACACAATCTTTGAAGCTAGTGGGCCCCGGAATATACTGCCGGGAACTGAACGTCAGGGGGCCAGTAAGGTTAACTGACCATGGCGAAATAGACGATAATATGATTGCAAAACTTCCAATCGTATGTGCGAAAATAACTTCTTGTTACGGCTGTCAAAGAAGGATTGCAGAATTTTTACCGAATTTCAATTGTCAATTCTGCTAACTGTCTTGAAAGCTCTTAACTGTCTATCGAAAAACTTATTCAAAGATCTGCGAACGAGAGGGTCTTAGCGTTTTTTCTGTTTGTTTTTTAGCAATAAGTTTTTAAAAATTTAGTGAAATTAAAAAAAGAAAATACTATATACTTTTATTTTTAAAACAATAAAAATTTTAAAATGAGAAACTATTAAAAACAAACAAACACCAAAAAAGGCAAATATTCATTTAAAAAATTCAAAAATTCAAAATAATTAAAAAAATATTTTTCTCTTCAAAGAATCTTCTTCTTCTTCTTTTTTGGCGCTGTAACCGCCTAAGCGATTTTGGCCGAGTTCAGCAAAGCACGCCAGTCGTTTCTCCTCTGTGCCAACTGACGCCAATTGGAAACGCCAAGTGAAGCCAAGTCCTTCTCCACCTGATCTTNTTCTGCCGTGACCCAAGGCTCCACTCGGATTGGTTACCGCATCTCGCACATGGGTTGCTCACGTTGCCCAGAGTGCGCGAACGAGGACGCAAGAGTCGGGATTGAGTATAGCCATGCAACTGTAACTGCATACCCAGCGCAATGACTATACCCCATTGCACTCCATTGCACTCAAAGAATCACATCTAAAAAATAAAAGAAAATTAATTATAAAATACATTATTTTTAAA